GTCTTGCAAAGAAAAAAAAATTGGCTGAAGTTACAGCCAAAACTTTCCATGGAATACAGGATACAACAAAACTCCTTCAAGGCTGATTCATACAAAAAGTCACTCCCATTAATAAAAATACAACATTTGGTTATCCACAGGAGGCTTCTTCTCTATAGACACCATTCTGGAGTGTCCTAATGGCCAATATATTACGTTTCCACATAGCTCAATGCTAGGTATGCATCTGTTTTTAATGGCTTGTTTTAAATATTGATATTTTAGGGTTTTTTTTTTTTTTTTTTTAACTTGCTAGCAAAGCATACGGGTTAGAGCGTCATAGTAGGATCTGGGAGAGCCGGGTTCAAATATCTGTATATATCATCTCCATTTTATCTAGTTGTCCAGGTAGATTTGACAAGTTTTATGCCTGTTCTCTTTTCAGATCACTCTAAGGAAACCACCTTTAAGACGGACAGATTTTATGCTTCAGCTCATTTAATGAGGACGAACCTGGTTAAAGTCTTTTTAGTCAGTATGCACATAACATAGAATTGTTTAAAAATGGGGTTATGCTCTTTTTATGTATGTATTTCCTCAGTGGTTAAGACACTGAACTGCAGGCTGGAAGGTCGGTAGTTCAGCAGTTCGAGATCCGAGTGTGCCGCATGACGGAGTGAGCTCCCGTCTCTAGTTCCAGCTCCTGCCAACCTAGCAGTTCAAAAGCAAGAAATTGCAAGTAGATAAATAGGTACCACTTCAGTGGGAAGGTAACCGTGTTTTGTGTGCCTCAGCGTTTAGTCATGCCGGCCACATGACCACGGAAACGTCTTCGGACAGCGCTGGCTCTTTGGCTTGGAAACGGAGATGAGCACCGCAACCCTAGAGTCGGATTCGACTGGCTTTCGAGCAAGGGAACCTTTACCTTTACTAATTGTGGATTATGTTAGATTCAGGTGGGTAGCCGTGTCGGTCTGAAGCAGCAGAACAAAGTTTGAGTCCAGTGGCACCTTTAAGGCCAACAAAGTTTGATTCTGGGCATAAGCTTTCATGTGCACGCACACTTGTATCCGAAGCAGTGTGAATGCAGACGAGAGCTTATACCTAGAATAAAACTTTGTTGGTCTTAAAGGTGCCACTGGACTCAAACTTTGTTCCGTTGATGGCTATTGTTGATCTGCAATTGTAATGAAATAAAGTAAAATCACCACTCTGCCGTAGAAGCTTGCTGGGAGACCTTTCGGCCCTCACTGTCTCTTCCCCTAACCTGCCACAAGGTTGTTATGAGGGTAAAACAGGAGACGAAAACAATGCTGTGAGCTGCTTTTGATCTCTACTGGGAGAAAATCAGTGTGTAATTATCTAAATACAATAATAAATGCATCTCTCCCCCCCTTTCAGTACTTCCTACTGTCAACTGTGTTGGATTGACAACTGCAGCTTGGGAAATTCTTGGGAGATTTTAGGGTGGTGTCTGTGGAGGGGAAAAGATGGGAAGGGACACCTAGAACAGGGGTGTCGAACTCATTTGTTATGAGATCGGATCTGACATAAATGTGACCTTGTTGGGCCGGGCCGTGTGTGTCATAAAATGTAATGCCAGGTAGCGGAGATGTAAACTTTATAAAGGAACCAAACACAAAAGGGTTTTTTTTAAACTTAAAATAAAAAGATGCTTAAAACATTAGCACTCTTGCAATATTTTGTTTATTTAACAGTGTCTGATAAGTGACCCCGCTTGCTCTGAACTATTGCATCAAAATGTCTGTGCTGTTGCAATCTTGAGTATGCTGTTCAGGTGCGTATCTGTAAGCTGCAAACCTACGATGACACAGCAGCAGGAGAACTGGAAGAAGCAACAGAAGACAGCCAGTTCCATTGTGGCCCTGATAGAAGCCCTTGGGGGGGGGGTGGCCCTGATCCGGCTTCCAGGCCATGTTTGACACCCTGACCTAGAATCTATTGTTTGTCACCTGAAGCGGCCCCTTCCACCTGGGGGGGCTGATCTCTCAGCTGAACAAAGTTTGCGTCCAGTGGCACCTTTAAGACCAACATCATTTTATCCAAGGTATAAGCATTTGTGCACAGGCACTCGGGTTGCCACCCTCCAGGCGGCACCTAGAGATCTCCAACTATTACAATCGGTCTCCAAATAAACAAGATCAGTCCCCCTGGAGCAAAGGGCTGCTTTGAAGGGTGGACTATGTTACACCCTGCAGGGGTCCCTCCCCTCCCCAAATCTCCAGGTCTTTCCCAACTCAAAGCTGGCAACCCCGGCAGGCAAACGTCTGCAGCTGCACGCACACGAAAACTCATACCCAGAATTAAAGTGTGTGGGTCTCAAAGGTGCCAGCCTCCAGGTGGGGCCTGGAGACCTCCCGCTTTCGCAACGGATCTCCAGCTGACAGAGATCAGCCCCCCTGGAGGAAAGGGCTGCTCCGAAGGGTGGACTCTGTGGCCTTGTACCCCGCCGAGGCCCTCAAGTGGTTAAGACGCTGAACTGCAGGCTGTGGAAGGTCAGTAGTTCAGCAGTTCGAGACCCGAGTGTGCCGCGTGACGGAGTGAGCTCCGGTCTCTAGTTCCAGCTCCTGCCAACCTAGCCGTTCGAAAGCAAGAAATTGCAATTAGATAAATAGGTACCACTTCGGTGGGAAGGTAACAGCGTTCCGTGCGCCTTGGCGTTTAGTCATGCCGGCCACATGACCACGGAAACGTCTTCAGACAGTGCTGGCTCTTCGGCTTTGAAACAGAGATGAGCACCGCAACCCTAGAGATCTGACTGGCTTTCGAGCAAGGGAACCTTTCCCTTTTTACCCCGCCGAGGCCCCTCCCCTCC